GCTTGTCCAGAGCAGGCTGTTCTCTCCCTGTGATGCTTTCTTGTCACATCTGTGGGCCCACAGCCAGTCTATAAGAACAAGTAGGAGCAGTGTGATATGCACAGAGGTCTCAACCCTGCATTTTCCTGCCATGGATTTCTAGTGGGTCATCCCTGGACATGCAGAACTCCAGAGAAGCTGCATGACTGTCCAGGACATAGGCCTAGGAAGTTACTTATCACAAGGCAGAAGGGGCTGGAGGAGGGCATATGCCAGGAGGAAAGGGGGGAACAGAGCCAAGAGCCAGCAAGTTATGGGCTGAGTGCTGAGCTGGTGCTGGAAAGGATTTCAGATGGAGATGACAACAGGAGAGCCAGCTCCATTCTCCCAGGGGTGTGGGGTGCTGGCAGGACCTGCTCCTGCACAGGGAAGGGAAACAAAGCAGGCAAAGTGCAGGCAGCCTGAGGGCTGGGCAGGAGGTTGTGCAGTGTAAGAGATGGAGGGATGGCAAGAGGGATGGAGAGACAGAAGGGTGGAAGGAAGGGAGGATGGAGAGGAAGAGGTATGGATGCTTCCCCAGTTCCCTGCACAAAGCACATCCTGGGGCATCATGTAACCTGCTGAAAGAAGGGACCTGTCTGAGTGCTCTGGCCTGGGCAGGGGAGCTCCAAGGGGTATTCCAAAGTGCACTGCACCAGGTACTTCCCCATCACCTTTTGTATGCTGGCTCTGGGGAGCAACCACCTTCATTCCGGCTCTGACAGCATCCCACATCCCTTCCTGGTCTCTGCAGAGTGTGGGGCTGCTGAACAGTGCTGGAGATGGGACAGAAGCTTGGAGGTGACAGGTCCCATGACCCACTGATGCTGTGTTCCCAGCTGGGGGTCTATAGTAGTGACAAGAACAGATGCAGTGCTCTCAGAAATCTCAGCTTTTTGCCCTGAGCTTTGATGGTCTCATCAGGACCAAAGCACCCTCCATCAGCCTCACATCCCCGCCTACACCCATCCCTGCTCAGCAGGGCCAGGTCCTGTCCTTAGTCCCCCAGTTCCCCGGGCCACAACAGGTGCTTAGTCTTGTGCTTGAGGGCTTTGCCTGTGTGATGCAGAGGAAAGGGTGGAGCAAAAGGCTCACCTGGCTCCTCTTGAGCCCCAGGACGTTGGTGGGACATGAGGAAACAGGTCCCCCCTGCCTGCCCCCGCTGTGAGCACCCCGCTGTGTTGGGACACAGCAGCTGCTCTCCTCCCCAGGTCAGCAGGAGCGAGCGAGTGAGACACCTGCTCTTGGAAGTGATTGTGAAAGGATGAAAGTGCTTCTCTGATTTGCCTTGGCATTTATTTTGTGCACAGGATCCTAACAAACATACAAACATCTGTGCTCCTGAAGCCTGGAAGGAAGGGTCCCTTTCCACAGGGAAGGAGTTTCCGGTGGGAAGGTGTCCCGCTTTCACTAGGGGATCTCTGGTGGGTCCAGGACAGCACACGCCTGGATGTAATCCCTGGGGTGGCCTGAGAAAGAAAGGGATGCTTAGGACCTGCTGAGGACACCTGAGCCAGGAAGCTGCCTGAAACTGGAGGCTGTTCCTCTGCCCTATCTCTGCCTGCTAAGTGGGGGCTCACTCTGTTCCAGGATGTAAAGGGGAACTCAAGACAGGAGCCAGATCTTATGTGAGAGGAAGTACAGAGGGTAGGAGCAATGGCTTCTATGTTAGGGACCATTGTGTGTCATGTCCACAAATCTGCTGGTGTGTTCTGCCCAACCCTGACACCACACCTCTCATCACCAGTCTGCAGCTCTGCCTCCTTTGGTGTGCAGGTGGCTAAAGGGTGTCCTGACACCATTCCCAAACTCCTGTGGGACACTGCACATCACTGGCTGGGTGCTGGGGATCCAGGAGGGCAGCAGCTACGGAGGAAGTGATGAGTGCTGGGTGATGCTGTGCCAGGAACTTCTCTGTATTCTCAGACCCTTGCCTGAGGGATAGAAGGTTCTGCACCCTCGCCTCTTGCTAAACTGTGTGGGCAAGGATGTTGGAGGGCAGATGCTGGCTCTGTACCAGTGTCCATACCTGCACACAGGCTAAGCCCACTCAGGAGCAGAGCTGGGGACAGGAGAACAGCCAGCAACCTCAGGACTGCTGAAGAAACCTCAAGGGTGATGCCACACCGCTGCACCCAGGGGAACCAGCATAGTCTCAGGGCTCACCCCCAGATTGCAAGTCATGTCCCAACGGAAGTGCATTTTCCTCTCTGGTGCAAACAGGAACCATCACACGAGCAGAGAAGGTGGCCCCTGTCGGTGCTGCTGTGCTGATGGGAGATACCCAGTGCCTGCCTGGTGGAGAGAGGTTTGGCACCTGCCAGGCAGCTCTTTATGGCCCAAACACCAGCCTGGGGTGGGCTGTGGTGGCTGGGGATAGTGGGGGCCTGCAAGGGTACTGCCTGCCACCCCCATCCCCAGCACCCAAGCTGAGGGCCCTGGCCCCAGAATGGGCACCCAAACTAAGGGGATACCAAGTAGCTCCATGACTGGGGACAGGCTGTATTGGGGCAGATCACACTTGCTGTGAGCCCAGTGAGCCTGGGCTTTTCTAGGGCACCCTCCTGTCCCCAAGGACCCAGCAGGGAGACACAGGGATAGCCTGCAAGGCCACAGCACAATTCCCAGGTGAAAGATACCCTGCCCACTGGGACTCCACGAAGGTAAGGGGTGCCCAAGAACTAAACTGATGCTTCCAAGGAGGTGGGCAAAAATTGGATGTCCAACCTGGGAGAGCTTGTGGATTGAGGCTGGGAGAGCTTGGTGGCCCTGTTGAGGGAAGGCAGAACCACACCCACAACTTCTCCACAGGCACTGGCCCTGCAGCACTGCTCTCCTGGCACTGGGTTGGGGGAGCCCAAAAGGGGGCTGGCACATGGCATGTGCATGGCCATTCTCCATGCCCCCACACACAGAGTCACACCCCAGCATGTGCTATTCACGCTCACACGCCTGTGCACACTGACAGGCACCCACATGCCCCACACCATCAGGAATGCCTTCCTGCACAACCACAGCTTGTGCCAGCACCCCCAGTCCCCCTGTGCACACCCTGATATCTCTGTGAACCTCCAGCATCTCCTGCACACCCCAAGCCACAGGGACACTTGCCCCCACTCCTCCTCCATGCTATGCACAGCCCTCTCCCAATGTTCACTCACTCCAAGCCCCGTGTATTTCCTGTCTGCTGGTACAGTCACTCCCCACACACCCCACACCCTGCACTCTCTCCATCCCCATTAACACTTACCCATGCCCTCATACCCTGCCTATTCACTCTATGCCTCAGTCACATTCAATCCACGCTGTCCACACTTGACCACACTGCACACACTCGCTTTACACCCCGTGCACATTCCCACCCCACACCCAGGGCACACAGGCACTGGGACTGAGAACAGTCCTCAACACTCCACACATGCTCACGCTCACCACTCACACTTTCTCTGTACTCCATGCACACTCCCCCATGCCATGCACCCTTATGCTATGCCCAGTGCCCGCTCACACCCCATGCCTGATGCACTCCTCACCCCACACTGCACACACATCACACCCCCTGCAGCCTCGCCCCTGCCATGCACACTCACCTGTACACTGCTTTCTCACCGTGTACAAGGGTCCCCCTGCTCATGCATGCTGTGCACACACCCCCTTGCCCCACACACACTCAACCAAGCCGTGCACGATCACCCCACACCCTGTGCCCTCACCCACACTTGGTGCACTCTCACGCTGAGCACATTCACTCCACACCTTGCGTATGCTCACCCCGTGCACATTCACCCGTACTCCGTGCACACTCTGCTTCCATGTGCACACCACCAAACCCCACGCCCACAGCACCTTTCCCCCATGCTCTGAGCACACTCCTCCCAGCAGCGTTCAGTCCCCCAAGTCCCCACGAGTAAGGTGCCACAGCATGCACGCTCACCTGCCACCCCACGCACAGTCCCGCACACCGTGCACAGTAGCCCACGGGACGGGTACACTCAGCTCTCCCCGCGCTCCCATCCACGCCGCACACGCTCACCCCACACCACGAGCACTTACCCCGCACCCTCCGCACACTCCTCCGCGCTGAGCATTCCCACCACACACACTTCTCCGCGCTCCGCACGCTTACCTCACACACCGTGCCCACTCACCCACGCTGTGCCCACCCCACGCCGCTTTCCCCCCCGGCCCCGCGCCCACTCTCCCGCCGCCCGTGCCCGCTCGCCCCCCCCCGCCGCCCGCTCCCTCTCCGGTAGGCTGCGTGCGACACGCCGGCTCCCCGCCCCGCTGCCACCCTCTGCCCCGTCCTTCCCCCGCGGGCTCCTGTCTGGACGTGTCGGGACTCGGGCTCCGGGCGCTGAGTAATGCTCGGCGCAGCGCGATCCCAGGCAGAGCCGCTGCCGCCGCCGCTCCGCGCCCAGCGCTCCCGGGGCGCTCCGGCCGCGACCCTGCTCGCTCCGCCGGAGGCCCGGCGACACCGGCGGCGGGGGGCGGCGGGGGGGCCGCGGCTCCCCATGTGCCTGCGGGCCCCGCGGGAGCCGCGGAGCCGCTCGCCCGGCGAGCCCTGCCCACGCCCGCCGCGGCCCCCGGAGCCCCGGGGCGCCCTGGGGAGCGGCGGGGGAGCGCACCCCGCGGGCCGAGGGCCCCCCCGGCCCCCCGGCACGTCCCGCCATGGGGGGCTGAGCCGGGGGGCTGTGCGCGGCGGGGCGGCGGCGGGCAGGGCGGGGGGCGCGCAGCCCTCGCCGGGCTCGGAGGGCGCCGGGGCGGCGGGAGGCGGGGGGCGCATCCCGGGAGGATGGCAGAGCCGCCCCGGCGAGCCGAGCCCCGGCGCGCAGGGAGCCAGTGAGAGGGAGGAGAGGGGAAAACACAAACAAGCAAACAACCCACAACAAACAAAGCGGGCAGAGAGCAGCGCCGAGCCCCGCCGCCCCTGCCCCAAAGGCGCCCGCCCGCCCGCAGCCCGCACAGCCGCTGCCCCAGCGAAGATGCGCCCGGCCCTGGCCCACGGACTCTGCTCGCTGCTGCTCAGCCTCTGGGTACCCAGGTAGGAGCTGCACCCCTCCAACCCCAGCCCCGCCGCTGAGAGCCCCGGCCCCACGGGGAGGGCGCCGGGAAGCCGCCGCGCCCAGCCCCGCACCGGGGGCGGTCTGCCCAGGGGGCTCCGGGGGGGTCCCGCCGCCCCAGCCCGGCCCCGCACCCTTGCGGGCCCCCGTTCAAGGGGCTGTCAGGGCTGCTGCCCCCCTCCGCCTTCCCTCGTCCCGACGGAACAACGGTGGGATGCGCAGCTTCTCCCGCTCCAGGAGGCTGTCCCCCTTCCTCCCCGGCCAGAGACGCTCCAGCGCCCGCCCCGACTGCCTCAGTTTCCCCGCTCGCCCGCGGAGGACGGGGGAATGCCGGCTGGGATGTCACTGTCGTGGGGGTCGGTGCCTGCTGGATCCCCCTGCGTCCTCTCCCTGGCTCCGCCTGTCCTAAATGCTAGAGGGGTAAGAGGGGGCCACCTGCTTTCCAGAAAGCGAACCCCCAAATTCACCGTCCCTGTCCGTCTACGCCTTCCCTCAGCTCGCTCCCAAACTTGTGCGCTGCAGGCAGCCGGGGGTTAATCCTGGTGCTGGTACGAGTCGGGGGGGTCCCCCGCCCTTCCCCCTCCCTCCAGCCCCTTTAAATATAATTTGTTAACGTTGGGACTTGTATTAATTAAAGCAGCAGCCGCTGCAGCCTGTGACCTGGGGGCCTGTCACCGTGAAATCAAGTTTAAATCCAGATTTAAAGGGGGAAGAGAGCTGGGGGGAGTGCTGTATCCTCCTAAGAAGTGTGACAGTGACAGCTTCTTGCCGGTCCTCCCTGGCCCTCCTGAGCCCTGGGTGGAGCGAGAGGCAGAAGGACCTTCCCTCTGCTCTCCGGAGCCCCTGCCTCAGTTTCCCTGCAGTGCAATCGGGAGAAAGACCGTAGCATCGCCCCCATCCCGGGATGCCCTGGGAAAAGATGGCAGGCGCTGTGTCAGGCTCAGGACACGAAGGGAATGAAGTCGTTGTGGTGTTTGGGGCAGGAGCTCCTGGGGTTGGAGATGGTGGTGGTTGTGTCCTGCTCTGCATCTTTTGTCAGCCAGGGCTTGCTTGACAGTGGGAATGAGTGCAGGAAGCTGGGAAGATTTCCTCTCCTGTGTAGGGGTTTTGGAGGGATGCACTCCCTTTGTCTCTCTTCTCTGCTCCACCTCGACTCTCCCTGTTGGAGTCGAGGTAGATTTGTACTGGGGCATATTCATATACTACCCATGAAAGTGGTGGGATGGGTATAAACACCCTTGGGAAGATGGAGAATGAGCCTGATCCTGACAGCTCTCCCTCTGCCCTGAGCAAGCTGTAATTCAGCAGAGACGCTGGGGCTGAACCCTCCCTCCAGAGCTGGGTGAGCACTGAGCTGGGCACCTCATCCCCTGACAGCTGCTTCTGTCCATGTACCTGCACCAGGCTTGCAGAGTTTGAGGGAACAGAGAAGGGAGTAACCCTTCTCTCCAAGACCTGGCAGCTGCAGTCCTTCCTCCAGCATCCTCCTCCAAGTCTTGTTTCTGTAATCAAAGTTCAAAGGGCTTTGAGCTCCTTGCTTCTCCCAGGGACCCAGCTCTTGCCTGTCCCAGGGAGCAGAGAGAGACTTTCCTGGGGAGAGCTCCCAGCAGGGACCAAGCTCTCCTGAACAAGCAGTGGGGTGGTGCTGAGCTCCTAGTGGACCATGCTGCAAGATGCTGGATGCTGCTGGGTGTCCCACTGTCTGCTGCTTGTTTTGTGGGTCTTCCACTTGGGCACTGTTTATCCCAGAGTCCTTCAGGCCATTCCCTGGAGCTGGGCAAACTCTTCCTACTGTCTCCTCCAGATTTGTCTGTCATGTGTACCTCTGTATTAGCTCCAGGCATCTCTTTCTGGACATGCTTTGTCTCCCCACATCCCACATCCCACATCCCATCCCCACACACTCCACACTTCTCCATTTCCCCAGGTCACATCTCTATTTGTGTAAGTACCTGTACCCCTGCCATGGACCATGTGCCTCTCCTTGCACCATCCATGTGCTGCTCTCTCTGCTTCCATGGCCACAGGTATCTGGTTCAGTGGGGCTAGGATGTGACAGTGGACTTGGGATTGCTGCTGGGAGCTTGAGGATAGTTGGCACAGTGCTTGGCTCCATATTTCACAGCTGAGCTGAAAAGGAAACACTGATCATTCCCTTTACCTCCGTTGTAAGGACCCTTGTAAGCAGTGCTGGGAGGATACAGGAGATGCAGGGAGGGGATCAGCCAGCAACACTGACTGGAATGGTCCTCCTGCTCCAGGGTCTGTCAATTCTCCCGGGGGGAAGTCCACGCTTTCTGTGGAAGGTGAGCTGGGGCGCTGTGTGCTGAGAGTCTGCAGTGCATGGCCAGTGTGGGAGATCCCTGGTGGAGCATGCAGAGAGAGCAAGCCTGAGAGATGCTGGGCTCCAGGGGCAGGATGGCCAGATTTAACTGCTGCTGGCAAAGGCTGCCAGGGTGCCTGTACTGTACTTATGTTGTTGGAGACAATTGCAGCCCCAGTGCTGCTGGTTTTCTCTGCCTGGATAAGCTGAGCTGAGTTTTTCCAGCCTTCCCTATAGGCAAAGGGCACCATGTGGATTGAGGAGCCTCTCCCTTCCCTGTATGTGTTCCCCACAGACTTTTCCCCTTCCCCAAATGGAAAACCAAGTGATTGACACATTGCTTGCTCTGAGCTCAAGAGTGCCCTTTCCCTCCCAGCTCGTGCTCCAATGAGATCCTGGGCCTGAAGCTGCCCTCAGAGCCAGTGCTGAATGCCAACACGGTGTGCCTGACCCTGCCGGGGCTGACACGGCGGCAGCTGGAGGTGTGTGTGCGCCACCCCGACGTCACCGCCTCCGCCATCCAGGGCATCCAGATTGCCATCCATGAGTGCCAGCACCAGTTCCGGGACCAGCGCTGGAATTGCTCCAGCCTTGAGACCAAGAACAAGATTCCATATGAGAGCATCATCTTCAGCAGAGGTAAGGGTTGGATGGTTCCCTTCCTGTCCCACTATCCAGCACCTGCTCTCTGGAGTCCTCATGGGCTCCCCCTGGTCCCCTGCACAGCTCTTCCCTGGCCCAGGGGATGATGAGCTGAGCTCTTCAGCATCCCCATGGATGAAGGCAGACAGATGTTATGGTCTGCCAGGCAAAGGAGCACTGCACTATGGCAAAGCTGCTCCATGCACCTTTGTACCTGCACTGGCCCTTGTCCTGAGCTGCTCCTCCCTGACCAACTCCAGCTGCTCCTAAGGCTCTTTCCAGGCCCTCCTGCTTTCTGGCATCTTCTCCCAGTGTGGTGTAGGCTGGTGTTTGGAGCAGTGCCATGGGTGTGCAGCATAGCTGATGGGTCTGAAGGTGGATGCCACGCTCTGGGATTTGGTTTGGTGGTTACAGTTGAACATCTTGGCTCAGTCCTGCTCTGGGGATGGTGTTTTAGTGTGTTGTGATGAGCTGAAATGCCCCTAGCTAGTGGAACGTAGCTCTGTGAACCTGTCACCCTGGTGTTCTGCCCAGCGCAGAGGGCTAAGGGGTCACTGTTCTGTGGGACCCTAAAGCATGATGGCAGAGGGGACAGGGATACAGGCTGTCCTGGCAGCTCAGCTGCCCACAGAGCCCCGAGCTGTGCGGCTGAGAGAGCTCTCCTAGGTCTCCATGTTCTGCCAAGGATCCTGGTGCCAGGATCTCATCTCCCTCGCAGTTGTGTCTGGCTCTGTCTGTATCAGAGCCTCCCTGGCTGATACTCTCCCCCTCAGGAGCAGACTCTGGGGTGCAGAGGGGCTGGCCTGCATGGTGCCGATTAGAGTTGTGACCTGATGGGGATCTTCTAGAGGACTTGAATGTATCTTTTCACCTGAGTACCCTTTCTTGAAACCTGTGCCTCAGCACATTAAGCGCCCATTGCCACAGGAAGGCCATGGTCAGGAAGGACAATGTGGTGCCAGTGGCCAGCAGTCAGGGTGCTGAGGGCAGGCCAGGTGCCCAGCACACAGACCACTCCTCCAGCTCCCAAGAAAGGTGAAAACTACCCAAGAAACTGCTCACATGCCTGCTTTGTGAGCGTCTCAGCCTGATGCCCAGCAGAGAGTTGCAACCATCCACTCTTCAAACATTCTTCCACATCCTTCATCTTCTTTCTCTGGGACTATGAGGAGAGTCTCAATGAGGAGAGGTTGGCAGCTTGAGGCCTCCATGGCATTGAGGGGATGTGGTGGCAGGAGCCCACAGGCAGCTGTAGCAAGTGGGGAGAAAGCTGGAGAGGGGATCACAGAAGTGTTTTGGTATCCAAAGATGTCCAGGGCAGCCTGCACAGCTTCGCTGGATGCTACCTTGGAGCATGTGGGCATCAGGGCTGTGGTCCTGCCATGGAGCAGCTCTGGTACCTCTCAGGACCTCAGTGCCTGGAGAAGGGCAGCGTCTCTTCCCTCTGTGAGCAGTGCCCAGGTTAGGGCCTGGCAGGAAGGGTGGGGACTGTCAGCCCTGATAAGCATCGAGGTATTTCCAGGTCCTCCAAGGAATGTGGTTCACTTCTAGTCTCCTCGGGCGGCAGCAGACACTGGCTTGCTGGCTCGAGTTGCTCACACACCCAGACAAGCTGCCTTGCTCCGGGTACCACCAGGCTGGGAGAGAAGCACCAGCAGCAGAGAGCAGTGACCTGCATCCCTCCCTCAGCTCACCTTGTCTGCTGCTGGCCCCAGTGCCTTGCACCTCACTTGTGTCTCAGATGCTCCTGCAGCCCTTCCTGCTGTCAGGGCTGTGACCGATGGATGTGGGGGCTCCCACAGACCCTGGAGTCCTGCCCCTGTCTTGATCTGTTGGATATGGCTCAGCCCAGGCTCTCAGCATTGGTGGGATCCCATTCTCTGGAATGGAGGCACAACATCCAGCAGCAGGGCAGGATGGAGGTAGGGCTGGAGCATCAGAGCAGGCAGGCATCTCATGGCGCTCCTGTTTTGGCAGCAGAGGTTGCAGGATGAGCCCCAAGCACCCAAGCTATCTCATGTAGTTGCTTGGAGCCATTTTGGCATGGAGCAAGCCTTGATACCGGAGCCCTGGCCCAGTTTGAACCCACTCATGTCCCTCAGTAGCAGTGCTGGAGCTTTGAGCCTTGCCTTCCATCTATTACAGGCACAGCCATCAGAGAGGGGATGCATCTCAGGAGCCCAGTGCTGGAGGAGAGGCGAGTGGTAGAAGTGAGGGGTGCAGGCTCCTTGGTGCAGACTTTAATGCACCTGACCTCCAGGGAGCAGGGCTCTGCTCTGCGCCCTGCCCCATCCTTGCCGTGCCTGGAACACAACGTGCTTGTAGGATCATTGTTTGTAACCCGAAGTGACAGACCCCTTTAATCTTTCATTCCTTTTCCCACTTCTTCTGCCATCAGCTCAGCCGTGCGTGAATCTCACTTTAAATTATTTGTAGCTGGCTTCTCCCTCCCGCTCTCCCCGCGTGGCTTCGCTCCCCAACTCTGTCCTGTCCTCCTGCATCTCTCACGTCTTCTCCAGTGTGGGCATGAGCCAGACAGGATGCTACACTGCTCCAGCTGTCCCATGGTGCCCATTCCTCAGTGCCCAGTGTCCAGGCACTCAGTGCTGCCAGGGACCTCATCCCCTGGGAACAGAGGACAATGGCAGATGAGTGCCCATCTCCTCATCCTGCTGAGCTGAGCCCAGAAGTTTGAGTGCAAGCTCTGGGGAGACAGGAAGGAGAGGCTTCAAATCGGACAGGGCTGGGAGTCTGGGGTGGCTTCAGAGCAGCACAGCAGGAGAGAGGGATGCTGCCAGCATCCTGGGCAGAGCACAGACCTGGGAGATGCTGCCATCCCTGGGGCATGGGAAACAGTGGCTGTGAGACACAACAGCACGTTAGTGGAGGGCAAGGAGGGTGCCCAGGAGTTTACCATCCCTGCTCTTTCAGAGCCACTGGGGTCTTTTGAGACACCACCATGGTCTATGGGTTTTTCAGGTCTGTCTTTTGATGCTGTATCCTTGGGGTATGAGATGTCCTTTGTAACCTTTGTTGAGTTTTATGGGAATATGATCCCAAAAAAGTTTCTAGTGCCATCTGCACCCCCCATCCTCCTTGGCCCATGTCCCCTCCTTGTTAAGCCAGGCTCAACAGTGCCATTGCAAATCCTCTGTCAGTCTTCCCTGGCTCCCCAGCCGGCTGCCTGTGCTCACCACCTTCCTGCCCATTCTCTGGCACTGTCACTTCTGCCAGGACTCTCCAGTGCTGTCCCTGGTCCCATCATTCTCTGCTGTACCTCCCTCTCCCTCCATGTGCTCACCTGGCTGACAGAGACATTCTCTTCTGGCCTCAGAAGAGGTAGGGGGAAGGAGCAGTGAGGTCGAGGCAGGCGGCTTCATCTACACCAGCAGTGGAAATAGATCCCATGTTCCTGCTCCAAGGGTGAGCAGCATGACTGTGCCTCCCACTGTGGTGGGACATATACCAGGACAACAGCAGGCCTGTTGTCCTGGTATATTGTCCCACCACAGCATCTGTGGGCTGCCAGGCACTGTGTGGCTTGGCTGGGCTGACCCGTGCCTGGTGCCTGACAAAAACCAAGCTGCAGATGGTGGTGGGTCACTGAGTCTTGGTCCTTGTCCAGTATGTGTGCACCCATGGGTGGGTACAATGCCATCAGGGCTTGAACTGTCTGGCTGCTGGGCAGGGGCTGTCTGAGGTGTGCTATGGGACTGACTATCCCCCTTTGCTCATCCCAACCCCAACCCCGTCTACATGGAGCTCTGAAAAAAATTAGAGGGGCTAATTTTTTTAGCCCCTCCTCCCATGGAGGGGCTGGATGTCTTTGAAGGCCTTCAAAGGCTCATGGTTGGAGGGGACATGACCCTGGAGTGCAGTATTTCTTGGTTCCTGCAGCCTTTGGAGAGATGGGTGATGCTTCCAAGGCCCTGTGCCCACCTGAGAAGGGCTCACTGGTGACAAAGGTTCTGCGTGGCCATGGCCAGATCTTGATTTCTTCCAGCAGGGAGTGGGGAACTCCCTGCAAGGCTGGAAACACCAGGTGCTGGGGCCCAGCCAGCTGTGAAACGGAGCTTGGGGAAGCTTTGCTGCGTGCTGAGGGAGGCAGGTGCTGTTTCAGCTATCCAGGGAGTTGCTGCCAAGCTCAGGACCCCGGCACCCAGCTCTGCAGAGCCCCAGCCAAGCTGCGGAGCCCGCAGACCGCAGCGCCTGGCCTGGCGCACCTGCAGCTGGGCTGCTGGCAGGGTTTTGTGCACCCCCAGGCAAACCAAGGGCTTTGCCCACCTGGCCCTGCAGCACATGCGGGTACTGTGGAGGCTTGGCTTCATCCCTGTGGGTTCCCCCATTCCCTGGACCTTCTCCCCACTGGTGGTGGAAGGGAGACCCTGGGGCCAGGCAGGATTGCTGGCGATGTGGGGCCGAGCTGGGCTCCCTGCAGCCTGCACAGCAGCAAGGGCTGCTCCCTCACGCTGCCGTGGGCGGACAGCAGCGAGGGCTGCGGGCTGTCCCTGGCACGCTCAAGGAGGTGCAGGGAGGCAAGTTGGGATCTGCAGGGAGGCATTTAGTGCCTAGTGCTGGGCCAGACCCTGGCAGGTTCACCTGCAGTTTAATTAGGGAGAGGGGAGGGGAGGGAGCGGGGCTGGGGGAGAGGCAGCATGTCGGGACTGGCCGTCTCGGCAGGCCTCGCAGGAGGTGGCGGGAGAAGTTCTCCTCTGCCTTATATCAGGGCTGGGGCAACGTGCCCACAGCTCCTGGCAGCTACACCCCACTCCTGGGGGGTACTGCCATGAAGGGGGCAGCTGAGCATGCTGGGGTACCCTAGGGTGGGCCTGTGTGAGGCTGTCCTGCTGCTCCCTCAGTGCCAGCCAGGCATTGCAGTGATGAGTGCTGGGAGAGAGCTGCTGCCTGGATGTGATGGTGAGCTGTGGGAGGAAGGCCATGCCTCCAGCTGTCCGTGGTCTACAGACTGTAGGGGCCAGAGCTGTGCCTGAGCCAGCCCTGTAGCCTTCATCGCACATCTGCCTGAAAATGGAGGAACTGCAGTGTCCATGGCAGAGCCAGTGCTGCTGGGACTTGGGGTCTTGCTAAATGACCCTCCATCTCTTAGGCTCTGCTTGACAGGGGAAACTTTCCCCCCTAAGAAAGCTGCTTTGGGATTTGACCTGGGGAAAAGATTTCAGACCTGTCCTCCTCGCCCAGCATGGTCTTTAAGTACACAGCAGGCTGGATGCCGGTGGTGGTGTCAGGATTGTGCCCTCCTTTCCCTCTTCCCTGCAGGATGCAGTACTTCTTGTACCTCCCACAGCTACACCTCTTCTGTGGTGTCTGGAGGGACATGGTGACTCAAAAATCACTGCTGAGGTCTTAAGTGGCTGGGGTAGCTGGAGAGCCTCCCCCCAAAATGCTCAGGGCTGGCCACCACACGCCACTCTCGGCTGTGGTTCCTGGAAGCTTCCAGCCTTGCTGAGCCCAAGAGGCAGGTGGCTGTTACAGCCGTGTTGCTCGTTGCTTTGCTTCAATCCTCTGTCTCTGGTGTGGCTGGGGTAGAGCAAGGAATGTAAACTGAACCTCCTAGCAAAACTGTACTGGCATGGCTGCTGTGATCCCAGTGCTGCCCTGACCCCTCCTCCCCTTTGCTCACAGCTCCCCATGAGAGCAGGTGAGGGAAGAAGGGGAGACGGCAGGGAAGAATGGTGGGGCCAGCCAGAGTGATACTGAGCAGGGAAAGGACCATGATGGGATGGGAACAAGACTTCCTGAATGCTATGATGCCATGTCTTGGGAACCAATCTGTCCCCTGCCCACAGCCTGGGGAATGGCAGCTCCAGAGACATGGACCCATACATCATCCATCAGCTCACATGTACTGGGAGAGCACTAGAGGAAGAAGGAGGACTGGGGCTTTAACCCATGGGTTTCCCAACCATGGAGGGCGCCCAATCAACCTGACCTCTTTACCTGTAAGGACACGGGCTTGCTAGACGGACTGGGTGGGGTAGAGCTTGTGTCTGGGCTCAGATGAGATTTTAAGGAGATGCCACACCAGAAATTATTTTTTAGACTGGAGAAATGTGTGAGAAAGAGGCAGGGCTGAGAGGAGGGTGTTGTCCTGGGTGAAGGGTTTGCTGCCCCTGTCCCCAGGCGCTGGCTGTGCGAGGAGCTGGGGATGCCCAGCAGGGTGGCAGTGACAAATTGGGCTGTGCCCAGGTTTGACATATGAAGGGCTGAAGTTGGCCCAGATGGCAGGATCAGAGAACTGACATAGGGAAGATTTGGGAATCTAGGGGACCTTTCTGTGCTGGTTCTCTATCCTCCCTTGCTCACCTGGGGACTGAAGTTGCCCAGATGTGGGCCTTCATGCTCCAGCAGCGCTGTGGGTGTGTTGCAGGCACTGCCTGCCAGCACTCTCCCTGGGGAGGCTGCACGGCACAGTGTACGCACCAGCGGCCCCATTACCTGCCCGCTGAAAAATGTTGTTCAACTTGTGCATGGAAAGAGGCAGGCTGAGAGCAAGCTTGTCCCACACCGAGGGGAAGCTGGGAGAGGCTCCTGCTGGCTTTTAAGCAGTGCCTCGTTAATTTTTTAAACACACCAGTGTCAAATTAACACACAAAAGAGCAGCACGACTTTAAATGCAGGTTTCCGGGCTGCATTTCATTTTCCTTTAATAAGATCATAGCGTTTGCTCAGCGGGCAGCAGTAACCGCGGAGGAGACATGCGTGATGGGGAGCACTGCCCAGCACAGCCAGCAGCAGCGCTTGCACTCTCCCTGATCATGGCTCTGGGGCACAGGCAGGGCTTTGGGGTGCTCACCCCAGACCCCTGTTTGATGGCGTGGATTTGGTAAAGAAAACACCCCAAAATCTGTTGTCTGTTCCGCTGTGTCAAAGCCAAACTGCTCATGTCCAACAGAGGGAGAGAGGCTGGGAACTCCAGCTATTTATTTATTCACATGTGACGCCACGGCACAAAATCTGGCACTCCCTGCATCCTTGCCTCATGCTGGGGCCAGTCACTGTGCACCAAAGCAAAGGGCACTGCAGGCTTCCCGCCTGACCTGGGAACCACAAACAAAAATATTACTTTGCATTTCAAATAGAATAGAAATTCCCAGGGAGGAGAGGGTCCTCACCTGGCTTCAGTGAAGCCAAGAGATTCTCAGGTATCCCCTGCTCACAGCCACATGGAGCCTGATGAAGCCCCTTCTGTGAGACCTGTCCCTGTCCCCATCTGCCCTGTCCCCAGCTAATGACACTTGTGGATGTCCTCACTCCCTAGGGTTTAACGACAACCAGCTGCTGGCTCTGGCAGTGCATGGTGTGGTCACGGCATGCTCTAACTGACGAGGGATGCTCATTTTTTTCCTGCCTGGTATCACATTTAGAGCTTCTTGTGGGACCTGGCAGGGTTCAGGGTGGGAAGGGATATGGGCAGATGAATGGGGCTGGACAAGGCAGTGCAGCCTGCTCTTTTTACTGCCTAATCTGCACCCTGTGAGTAAGCAGAAGTGGTCCATGCTTCAGCAGAAATATCTCTTGGCCAGTGTTATATTTAGTATAGTAGGAAACTCTGAGTGGAGAGGGGAGGAGGGATTGCCTTTCCCATTAGAGCCATGATGCTGATGCCTGAGCAGTGCTGTGGTGGCATCTCCTGGAGTGATGTGAGAGCAGGGTGGTGGTGGAAGCTGGGGTCCCAGCTAGGGCAGGGCTGGCCCTCAGGGCAGCAGTGTGTCCTTATGGGGATGGGGCTGGAGAGCAGAGAGTGGCCATTCACTCCTGGCCTGTATGGGAGCTGGTGCATCAGGAAAAAGCAAGACACAAGCTGAACCTCCCAATCCTTATACTGCAGTGTGACAATGAACTCACCCAGCCCCGCTCGGGGGTCACAGCGCCCAGCCTGACCCCAGTGTGTCCTTCCTTGCAGGCTTTCGGGAGAGCGCCTTTGCCTACGCCATAGCAGCTGCTGGTGTGGTGCATGCTGTGTCCAACGCCTGTGCCCTGGGGAAGCTGCAGGCCTGTGGCTGTGACCAGAAGCGCCGGGGCGATGAGGAGGCTTTCCGGCGCAAGCTGCACCGCCTGCAGCTGGAAGCCATGAACCGCGGCAAGGGCATGGTGCATGGCGTGCATATGGAGCACATGCCTGCTGAGACCCCTGGCCTCCAGGACTCCTGGGAATGGGGAGGCTGCAGCCCTGATGTGGACTATGGAGAGAAGTTCTCCAAGGATTTCCTCGATTCCCGGGAAACCTACAGGGATATCCACTCCCGGATGCGGCTGCACAACAACCGCGTGGGCCGGCAGGTGAGCGGGGTGCTGGTCACGGCTGTGGGGAGGTGATGGGGGAACAGGGTCACCAGGACATGTGTGGGAAGGCCCTGAGGGACTCATGCTGGCTGCTGTGGAACCATTTGTGGGTCTGGGATTGTCCCCAAGGCACCCTCTCTCCCCAGCCTTGCCCAGAACAAAGGCAGTGATGCCCTTACAGGACAGGGTTGCAAGGATATGCTGGCCAAACACCTGCCGGGAGCAATACCTCTGAGCATTGCTGCTGTGGCCTTGCCAAGGGATGCTGTCCCAGGCCACTGTCACCTGTCTGTGCTGCAGCAGTGCTACTGGAGTGGCACAGCAATGATTCTGGCTACTGCCTCTCAGGGACAGAGTGAACTGGTGTTGGGCAGCTGCAGTGGGGGTAAGCCAAAGACAGGGAGGAGGAAGTCACTGGCATCATGGGGACACAGCACAGATTCTGCAGCACCTAGATGTGTCTTTGCCTCCAGAAAGGGAGCCAGTGCCCCGAGGAGGCAGATGTGAATGAGATTGAGTTAGGCAGTGGGCTCCTATGCCAGGTGGGAAACACAGCATGCCCTTGGGAGCAGAGGTGACAGCCCACAGCCTTGTCCCCCATCTTGAGCAGTGTGCTGGAGCCTGCTCAGGCAAGCAGGACAGCCACCCCTCCATTCTTATGATGTCAGGTCTCGTTAAAGGTACTAATTAGTAGCTCACTCTGTCTGGAAGCTGAGGTTTAAAAGCAGCCTGACACTGGAGACAAGAAGCATGAAGGCAGGAGGGGCTGGGAGGATGGCTGCATTTCCCTGCCTGCTTTTGCTCACAGCAGGTGCCTGAGAGATCACATCCTTTGAATCCAACAGGACACATGTCCCCCAGACCCCAGCCACATGCTGCCAGGGCAGTGCCAAGGGATGTGTAGAGGCTGCAGGAGTAAATAATTAAAGTCAGAATTCCACAGGGAATGTTTCCTTGGGATGGCTCAGACATTTGGATGTGCCTCTTGCTTTGAGCATGTTTCAAGTTGGCTGTGAGGTGAGGATGCTGCAGAGCAGGGCCTTAATATGTGGCTTACCCTGATGCGGGAGCTGAGCTTTACCACCCTGGAGAAGCCACCCCAGTTTGGCCAAGGTGTAAATGCCTGGGGAATACCAAAACTTTTGATTTGTTTGGCTTTGTTTGCTCGTGTGTGGTGAAAGCTCACTCAGTGTTAGGCAGCTGAATCCTCTGCAGACTGCTCTGGCCCAATCTGGGCAAGACCCCCATTCCAGTTCTCACTGCAGGGCTCATCCTGATTCCCCTACATCTCTCCATGCCCTGGCTCTCTGGGGCTCTTGGCAGTGCTCAGAAACCTGTGGTCTGTGTTCCCTATTTCCCAAGGGAAACCTCACAGCCTGCAGAAGGAAGGGAAGGTGAGAGAGGAATATTTGCTCTGGCAGGATGTCACGAAACATTTCCCGTGGGATCCAGTAACAGTGAGAATGCCTGGGGTCTGCTTGTCCCTGAGGACAGACAGACACGAGACTGGCAATGTCAGCTCTTGGTGGCTTCAGAGACAAGATGTGGACTGATGAAAGAAGCCTGGGAGCTAGAAGAAGAGGCAGAAGAAGACTAAAGGAATAAAGGGGAATGGTACCTGTGCGGGTGGGGAAGCAATGCCTGGACAGGCAGCTCAGGGACCTTGTTGAGATGAGGGTGTGAGCCCATGTGTGGTGCTGTGGGTGCCGGGCATTGGAACAAGAAGATGATGCTGTGCCTGGTCTGTGCCTGTTGGTGCTGTGCTTATTGCTAGGGCTGGCCCTGGGGATGGGTTCCCACTCGGAATGGGTTCTCCAACTCCCCACTTGCTCTTATGTCAATGCTGTGGGTCCCACACCCATCCAAGCCCCAGTTACTACTAGGAGCAATTTTTCTGCTGTTATAAGGAACAATCTCCTGGGATTTCCCAGGAAAGGAATGGCTGTGCTGGTTGCAGCCGCTCTGTGGTCCTCCCCTCCAAGTCCTGAGGCTGAACCTCTTTAGCAGAGCAGTGACGTGGATGTGCACACCTTGTGCCATGCTCTGCCATGCACCATCCCTCTCCATGCACCAAGCAGCTGCAGCACCCAGAGCTCTCCAGCATCTCACTGATTCTGAGCATCCTCTCTGTGGTTCCTGTGTATTCTGAGGGTGCTGTGCCTGTGGGTGAGCCTGTCTCCTGGCTCAGACCCCACAATACTGGAGGGAGGTGACAATTCCATGGATGGTGGCACCCAGGTGGTATTAGAGGTGGTTTCTGTAGTGTAGTGGTTATCACGTTCGCCTGACACGCGGAAGGTCCCTGGTTCGAAACCAGGCAGAAACACACTGATTTTTCCTTTTTACACCCAGCTATGAGGCTGGGCAGGGGATTGCAGCTCAAGGGATGTACAGCATCCTCTGATAGTGGCAGTGGTGACCTTGCTCCTGAGGAATAGGAAGCCCTGGGATAATAATTGCTTGGTCCAACTCAAGACTGAGGTGGGTGTTCTGCATCCCTGGCAGGCAGCAAGCTCCCCAGCAAGGAGCAGCAGGAGTGTGAGAGAGGCTTTGCAGGTCCTCCTAACTCACCAGATCAGAGAGCAAGAGAGGATGAAAGGAAGCCAGGAACTACCCATTACCCTCACAACAAAGACCTACGATAAAGTTCTTATGAGCGTGCCTGGGAGGAGCTGGGAATGTGTGAAAGAAAGCACCAGCGAGTCTGGGCATGTGTCGAACTTGGGTGTCTATGAGACAGGGAGAGGACGGGTAAGGGTGCATGGAGAAAATTCAATGACAAAAGCATGGGGCCAGGACTCAGATGGACTCTTCTTGCATCTGCCAGCTCTGCCAGGGTCCTGTCCCCTGTGTGCTGCCTGGTCAGGGGTGGACGGGTGTTGTGGTGCTGAGACTCAGGATGTTCAGCAGTGATGGCTTGGGTGATGGAGATGGCCACACTTGACACCTTCTTCAGCCCCTGCTGTGACCAGCTGTAGGCCCAAATGAACTCCTGTCCAGCTGTCACACCACTGTCCCCTCCATCCTCATGGTGAGCCTGCCAGCCACAGCCCTGAATGCAGATTTTTCCTGTTCCAGCCAAGCCAGCAGGGTGGGAATGTGGGAAAGGGTGACAGTGCTAGACTGTTCCCAGGGATAGTGACAAGAACAGCGGCGAGCAGCTGGTGTCACACCCAGGACATGGTGGAGAGGCCAGGTAGCTCATTACCTGTGAGGTGGAAGCTCTTCCCAGCAGGAGCAGGACTCTCAGCAGGATGAAAGCCAAACTGCAGCCCAGCCCAGACCTCTCCGCCATGTGCCCCAAGCTCCAGGCGTGTTTCATTACCATAACTGCTTAGCAACTTGGAGATTTACTCAAAAACAAGAAAACAAGAAATAAAAACTACCCACCCCTACCTAAACAAGGCTCTCCTGTCACGTGTCCCTCCCAGGTAGGGGGCAGGAATAGACAACATGTGGCAGGCATGAAGCCAGGTAGATGGGCAGGACTGGCATTGTAGGACAGCACCTTTCACAGTGACAGGTGTCTTCTGGAATCCCCCACAAGCCCTGGAGCAGGGCCCTGGGTATGGGGATCAGCCTGTGATAGCCTGCAAGCCCCATCTGAACTCCTGGTGAGGTTTGGGTGTCCGCATGGGAAGGGAACTCGGTGAAGCCTGTGTGAGCGCATGGATATGGGGGCACACAACCCAGCAGGGAATTCCTGTTGGGACAGAGCAGAAGACATTATAAACTGTCTCTTTCCAGGCTGTGTGGGGATGTGTGGCCATGTTGTGCCCCTCAGGATTGATGGGCATGAGCTGTTTCTCTCGGCTTGGCCACAGCAGTATCCCTTACAGGGATGGGGGATGTAGGGGATCCCAGCATGCAGCCTTGCCAAGGGAGTCCAAGGAACCCCACACTGACCTCTGACCTCTGCACGAGCTGTGCTTTCAGGCTGGCCCGAACCACAGCCAGAGCCCAGCCCATGCACCCTGGCCCTTGAAGGGGGTAAATGGGTAGCACTGGCTGCACTGCAGCCTCTACAAACTGTAAGTCGGGGATGTGATCCCTGCTTGGAATTCGGAACTGTGGCCAGGTTGGCTGAAGGAGAGCAGGCAAGAGCTAAAAGCAGAGCTGCTCCTAGGACTCCCAGAACTGGGGCTTTATGAGATGAAGGCCTTGGGGTGGGGAAAGGAAGGGGAAGTATCATCACTCCCACCTGCCCCACTCACAGTGCTACTGCCTGGTGAGGTGCGTGGGAGACCCTTGCACTGGAGAGGTCCCAGTATGGCTACACCATGCAGCCAATGCTCCATGCTGGCTTTTAACTGGGGTCAAGGATCAGGTTGATGCTGCTGGAACCAAGCAGCAGTGGGAGGTGAGATCCAGGCTCCTTCTCCTCCCTGTGCTCAAAGAGCTCACCCTCTCCTTTAGGTGCCAATCCCTTGATGAAACATAAAAGCCAGTTGGTATTACCAGGATGGGAAGGGACAGGGTGTGGGACATGAGTTGCACTGGGCACAGCAACAGGGCGCAGCCTTGCTGGCTTTGCAGTTCCAGAGCTTTGATGGCTACTCATGCCAGCCCTTGATGTTCCCATGGTGCCAACCCACACAGAGCTCCACTGTGGCTTCTCCAGTCCCCAAAATGCGTCTCCTTCATGCTCACTCCTCTGTCCTTCCTTCCCCACCCAGGTGGTGATGGACAACATGAGGAGAAAGTGCAAATGCCACGGTACCTCAGGGAGCTGCCAGCTGAAGACATGCTGGCAGGTGACGCCTGAGTTTCGCCTGGTGGGGTCCCTGCTCAAGGACCGCTTCTACGGGGCCACCCTCATCCGGCCCCACAACCGGAATGCCGGGCAGCTGGAGCCGGGCCACGCTCGGCACCGCCGCCGGGCTGGCATCAGCGAGCTGGTTTACTTTGAGAAGTCACCCGACTTCTGCGAGCGAGAGCCGGCGCTGGACTCCTTGGGCACTCAAGGGCGCCTGTGCAACAAGACCAGCCCGGGCATGGACAACTGCGAGAGCCTGTGCTGCGGCCGCGGGCACAACATCCTGCGGCAGACGCGCAGCGAGCGCTGCAACTGCAAGTTCCACTGGTGCTGCTTCGTGGCCTGCGAGGAGTGCCGCATCACCGAGTGGGTCAGCGTCTGCAAGTAGCCAGGCAGGGCTGGGTGCCCACCCCAGGGTGCCAGGGACAAGCACGTCTGCCTGCGGCAGGGGAGGGAGACGGGGATTGGCGCCGGGGGGGAGGTGCAGCCGCGATACCCGTTTCCCTCCGCTCCGAGGCAGCAGGAGAGGACATGCTCAGCACCCTCCAAAATCAGCACTTTGTCGTCACCTGGGAAGGGCAGGGCAGGGCTGCCCGCTGCCCCCCAACCCCACATGAGAGCACCAAGGCTCCCGGCCCCGGGGAGCCCACGGCCATGCTGTACAGACCGCCGACACCAGCACCACTCGGGGGGGGCGGAGGGTGGGCCTGGGGGTGGGGGACTGCCCGCTGGCACCCAGCGGTATGGAGCAGGATGGGGTCGTGGACAGCAGGGCATGGGGAGCCCAGGGTGGGAGGGAAGTGGGGGGGACACACACTAGCACTGTGCACAAGTTCCTCCAACCACATGCGAGGTTGTGCTCGGAGCAGGATGGGGTTGGAGCACCCCGTGGGATGGAGAAGGGGCACGGCTCCCCGGGCTGGGGCTCAGCTCTCACCTCTGGGCTGGCTTGGGCTTCGTGGCCGGAGGGGCGGGGGCCCGGGGCTGTGCTGTGTGTGTCTGTGTTATTATATGGTAAGTTATTTTCTGATTGTGAATAAAAGTGGATTGGAGACAGCATAGGGTATTTCAGGATGCAGCACCCTGCTCTTCCTGCTGCCAAGGGTTCTCCATTCCTCTAGGGTGACAGAAGGATGGAGGGGGACCCTCAGTGCTGCTGACCTACTTGTGTTTTGGGACTTTCTCTCAGGTTCTCTCCTGCCATCCCAAAATAACTGTCCTGTCAGCTGTTTGCAGACTGGCAGGAGATGGGGACCCATCGCGGGCATCCCAGACACTTGCAAGGTGGCTGCAGGGAAGCTTCTGCCCAGTTGGATGCATGCTAGACCCCATCCATCCCACGGGAATCCTGGCTGTTGCCCCCATGCCCGTGGCCGTGCGGGGCTGGGAGCTGCCCCACTGTGTCCCACACTCCTGGGGAGAGATGGTGGGGCTGGAGAGCAGGGAGAGGGGAAGGCAGCATGGGTGGGCCAGGCAGTGGGGGTCCACAAATGGCAGCTTGCTGTGGTGGTGGGGAGGGCACCCATCTGGCTGCAGCAGCCTGCAGGGGCCAGGCAGTGAATCATGCTGCTGCTGTCTCCTGGCTGATAACTTCCCTGCTCCTCCCACGGCTGTGCACCCCTTGGGGCTACACAAAAAAAAATGGAAGTGAATTAAAAAAAAAAAAAAAAAAAAGCTAAAAAACAAACTAAATCAAGGAGGAAAATACCAGGCTGGAAGGAAGCGAGCAGCCTGGGTCCAGCAGGGAGTGGCCCGTGTCCTCGTTTCATAACGCTCGCGCATGCAGCTGGAGCTGCCCCGGCCCAGACGGGTGCTCTGCCTTTCAACACCCCTGCAGGGGAGGACTGGCTTTTCCCCTCCAGCAGGGACCCTGTGGATGGGGTCCTTGCTTCTGGAACCAGGTGAGGAGAGAAGAATGCTGTAGGTGCTGGAAGGAAGCACAGGAGCTTCAGTGACCTTGTGGCACCTGCGTGGTTCTGTCTGCCAGCACAGAAGGGACAGTGAGACACGAGGTCTCCATGGTGGCTCCCAGCAGCAGAGACATTGGGCTGGTGTTCTTGCAGGAAACAGGATCTCAGCTTGGGCTTTGGGGCACCCAGGCTTGCCCTGTGAGGCATGAAAGCAATGTTGTTCCCGTGGGGCAAGTTTACTCTGACAGGGCATGCTCCAGCAGTTCATTTTCTCTCCTGAGATCCTACTTTTCCAATATCCATCTCCAGTATCAAGGCCCTTTTTCCAAATCCCCAAGACTTTTGCCTTTTGGCCATTAGCCCAAGGACTAATTGGACCTCATGGGGTTCCCCTCCCTCCTAAGCTGGCCAAACCTAAGGTTATGCTACTCAGGGCAGGGGGGCTCTGCACATCTATCACACTCCAGCCCTTGGTGTGTGACGTTGGCTTCCCACCTCCCAGGGGCTGCTTTGCAGATGCCTGTGATCTCAGGGCTGCCTGGGGTGATGACTGACTCACCACGGAAGCTCTCACCACACTGCACTGGTCCTTTCACCCCCTGCTTGCTAATCCCAGACCACCTGCTCTGCAACAGCAGGATCCTAGGATATGACTCCCCCATAAGGGGACCAGACTGGGGACAAGGTGTGTTTGATGGTGCCCAGAGAAGTGATGCAGGGCAGGGCCATTCCCCCCAAGGATGTATCACATCCCCCAGCGAGGCACCAGGCTCTGGGCATCCTGGATCTGCAAGGACTGCAGCTTGCTCTTGCCTTCCAGCCAATTATGGGAATAGCATTGTGAAAGAGCATTGTGATGCCAGCACACCTTGGCTGAGACTCCCAGCACAGTGCCCAGTGCTCCTTGGTTCTGTAGAGACCCTGTGTGAGCTGGAGACCCTGGGACACTCAGAAGAAAACATAAGATCCCTTGATCTTTGCCAGTGTGCAGGAGGCATGGCTGGGGTGCAAGTGCTGTGCTGGAGGGCTGCTTTGTGCTGCAGGCAGCATGCTCTGGGTGCAGGCAACTCCAGGGCACAGGCATCCTGCTTGCAGCATCTCATTTTCCTCTTGGGGCCAGCTGGCTCCCAGTGCAATACCAGTCTTCAAGATCTGCTCTGTGGCTTCTCTGCTGAGTGTCTGGGAGCCACAGGCAAGGTGCCAGTGTGCCTGTGGTTATGAAAAACAGTGTCCCCATGCTTCCCTAGCTAGGAAGCAGCCACTGGGCAGCTGTCCTCACAACCACACTGCTGTGCAGAGCGCGTGCAGGACACCTCCTCTCCCCACGGCCACTGCTGAGCTTCCAGAGTCAGCTGCTAGTGAGGGCTTGGCTCCCCAAGCCTGGGCATTCCAAACTTCTATTCCATGGACCACCCTCCCTGATGCATCAATGGGATATGTCCCAGTCTCACCAAAGACCCGTGTTTCCTCACACAGAGGGACTGTTTGAGCCTGCTGAGCTCCAGCTTGTACATGCTGGTGCATGGCCCCCTACTGCCCTGTGAGGGACATCTCCACCCTGCAGAGCACTGCACGCAGTTCTGGGCTCAAGTGGGAAGGTTCACGGTGCTTCACCCAAGAGAGAACAATGACCATCAGTGTAGAACAGCCCAGGCAGATGATGAAGGTGGTTTCCAGTAGAGGGGACAAGATTTCCCCAGTGTTTTCCAGTCATCTTCCTACAGAGGCAAATTACTAAGGGAGTTCCAAAACTGAAAAAGGAAATGGCCATTCCTTTCACTTGCATGTCATAAAAGGGCACTGAAAGCTCTAAAGAAGACTACAAGTCCTTGCTGGCAGAGCCAGGAAAAACTTATTCCAGTTTCATTAAGTATTTTAGCCCAAGCTCTAGAAATTCCTCCGTCCTTGAGGGTCCCTGCTGCCGAGGGAACCACCAGCTCAGTGTGAAGTCCAGTGGTTTTCTCAAACTTTGAACTTCCTGGTCCCAGGGGCAGGAAGGCTTCTCAGATCCTTCTAATAAACTGAAAGTAAATCTCACTTCTTGCCCCTGTGGTTGTGGAGAGTGATGGGAAAGCCTGACCTGAGTGTGACTCTGAGAAGGCAATAGAGAGACCTGAGCTGGTCTGATCAGTTTGTACCTCTGCCAGGTCTGAAGCCAGATCTGTGGCTGTCCAGATGTGGATACCCCAGGCTGGTGCACTCCGAGACCCTGGCCTTGTGCCCACCAACAGACACAGAGTGGAAGAGCCAAAGGGACAGTGGATTCCCTCCAGCACAGCAGGTTTCTGGTTTCTGGGTCCTTTCTCCTCTCACCCAAAGCCCCAGCTCATCTCTTGCTTCTGGAAAGCTCCAGCAAGGGTGGGGAAGGTCTCTGGGGGTGGCAGGGGAGTAGTGGGGGGGCTGGGACTTTCCCCAGGAGATCACAGGAGGAACTTTGGCTGGAGGGTGGGGGGAACCGATGAGGAGTTGCTACATCATGCCCCAATGAGCCGTGAGTAACTCCTCTGGTATTTCTTCCCCTCACAGAACAGTCATCAGAGCCAGATCCTGCCTGGGGGAATCACTACACGGGAACACCCAGCCCCATCCAAATTCCATTCCTGCTCTCATCAAAGCTCTCAATATGAAGCAGAGCTATGAGTGGACAGTTCTGTCTCAGTGGTAGCCCCTGTCCCATGCCATCCACTGCGGTGGCACGAGCATGGACATGGGCACGGCTGGCAGTGCTGGCTGGCTGAGCCTGGTCAGCTGCTGACCCACAAAAGCAGCAGTTGCACCTGGGCTACTGGAAGTCAGGAGAGAGCAAAGCCTCGTTGTGTCTGCTTATCCAAGGGGAGCAGAGGGCAGCCCCTCTCCTGCTTTAGTCCGGGCAACTGGCTTCCATGCTTGAGAAGCAAGTAGCCATGGCTTGAGACCCATGCTGAGAGCCTGGCTGGCACTGTTATGTGAGCTGAGATGCAGAGAGATGCTTCAAGCCTTTCCTGACGTTCAGCCCCAACATGTCGTGCTTGGCACCAGCACCCGTGCAAGCCCCCGAAGAAGAAAAAAAGTTTGGCCCTGACTGACCTGCTTGGCAAGGCGAGGTACCTACAGCAAGGCAGCACCTGGCTTGGGATAGGAGCCCAGGAGTCCTGTGCTCCCCCACCAGGCCCAGCTCCTGCCACCACCCCCCTGGCACAGCGTTCCAAGGCATTGCCCTCCCTCGTGAGGGGTGGGTCACCTACCCAGTGAGAAGGCTGCAGCCACCACTGTGTTGAGCTCATTGAGGTACCAGAAATGCTGGCAGCAGCCAGGCCCTGGGAGTGTCCCCTCTGGCTGGGCACACTGCAGCCTCCCTGCTCAGCCACAGCTGCACCAGCCCTTGGTCCTCCAAGGGAGTCCCTGGCCATGGGGCTGCTACACACCTGCAGAAGGGCCAGCACAACTTGGACATGGGTGGGATGTGGAGATGGGGAGCAGAGGGAGGGTTTGGGCTGAA